TTTTGTCATCTAGAAGAACGGATCATACATTGAGGGGCTAGCACTGGACTGCGAGCATTCAAGGAGAGGTAATCAGAACTTTCACGATTTCTAGCATAGCATACTTACCCCTCTTTCTTTTACCCTTCAGTCTAGGGGTTTTGAGAAGCTGAAGCAACGAAGAATGGGGAGGAAGGTGAGATTGTGGTGGGGTCGAAGAGATTGAAAAGGCCATATGTGAGAGAAAATCAAGATAGGATCAAGCCGTTCCTTTGCAACGGTCCCAATGAATCATGGAAAAATCGCTAATCGCTAGGTAATCGCTACTGACGTCGCTCGTGTGCGGCGGCGAAGACCAGCCATAATGCTGCCGGTGTCCGCGCGCGAGAGATCGCGATGTCGCGTGGTGCCTACTATCCGGTACCCTTGAGAGTACGCTAGACGTATAAGCATCAGAAAACATTAGTGAAATGGTCAGAATTTGGTTAAATCCATTAGGCCGCGTTCATAGTTCGCGACTCGGGAGATTAGGATAGTAGGCGACAGGATATTAGGATAGTAGTAGAGTAGGAGATTGCGCTGACAAGATTGGATACGTATCGATTGAAATCGCTGGAGAGTAGTAGATTGGGCGACTTCGTCAGCGCAATCTCCTACTCTACTACTATCCTAATCTCCCCGTCAATACATATGTTTTTCATTGTCGCGTACTATCCTAATCTCCGGAGTCGCGAACTATGAACGCGGCCTTACAAATCTACTAATCGATAACAACACAGTAATCGGACAGTGGGGAATCTTGCTGAATTCGAATTGGACTGATCAAAGATCACCTTTGCTCCTCTGTGACTTGAGTGAGGAATCGAGAGGTGATGTTGGCGCCCATCGAAAAACCGATATTAATGAAATATGAATTTGGATAATCACGAAACAGCTGGTTCATCATCGCATTTAATTCCTCGGTACCGCCTGAAATAAGACCCCAATCTATACGCATTTCATCTTCCGAACTTCTTATATTACTAAATACTACATTATTTACTTATATCACAGCTATTAGGTTGGAAAGAAAGTCCTGCAACACTTTTCAAATTTTTGATTTTAATTTTATCTTTTTTGGTTACAACTCCTGACCGGTCTTATATCTACCATGAGTGTCCACCACTTGTCTCCATCGCTCAGAAAATTTCTTGATGCTCCTTCGCCAAAACCCAGCGGAGTGCGAGGTCGAGAAAGGAGGCGACCTCACTTTCGAGTTGGAGTTGATCGTCTAATTATTTCGTCATCAAGATGATGATTTAAGGTCCAGGATAGGTGGCAGTCATTTATAGCTCGACCAGGGGAATACGCTAAGAGAGGTAAGAAATCTTGCCGCAACTCCAGAATTTCTTACCGGGCTCATTTCGGATCATGGTGATTCGCAATGTCATGAAAGAAATGAATATTGTCGCGGTACGAGGGCTCTTGACGAGCTGCCTCGGCCAGCTTCTGGAGTTCCGCAGCCTAGACCTCTACCTACACAATGGTGCCCATAACGAAGGGTTGTAGTGAGATCCGTAATAGCCCTTTCTCTAACGGAGTGTGAAGACGCTGCCTGGTCTCTTATGAAAATATCAAAAGATCGAAAGCGCTGATAAAGCTGAAACACGCTGTAGCGGTGCACGACATGCCTATTGAAGCGATTGCAGATAGTGTTGGTCTTTGACACGAATCCACAGTTATGGAGACATTTATACTAGGCAGTGCTGGGAGTCATGATTGCAGTGGTCGCAAGATTGTTGAGGTTTAAATTTTCTTGGATAACTACTGACTGCAGCAACTTATATCCACCTCGTGGATTAAAGCCTTGAGAATGCTCTACCGTTTTTTAGTCATAAATGTTACCTATGAATTTTTCAGGGAGAAAGAAAATTTCAGAAAGAGTGTTGCAGGACCTTTCTTTCCAACCAAATATTTATAATTTCCTTCAAAAATATGCTCACCATAAGTGAAAATCCTGTTTCCTGTCAATTTTACGTTACGGAGTGCACCCAAATGATTCAAAACTGCACATCGATACCTTAACAATGAAATTTAAATGAACCAACAAAACAAAAGCAGACAGAGAGTTCATTTATTGACTCGTAGGGAAGAGGGAAGTCTACGTATACTCTGCTTCAGAAAACCAGAAGCACGTCGACTGCAGACCACACACCACAAGTGACGACGGCCTCTACAAAATGTAAATGTTTTCTGCCAATGATTAGCCTGTTGCAGTTGTATTCTATCAGTTGTCACTAATTACAACCTCATTTACCAAGCATCGGCTATCAGCATGAAAGATTTATTTGAAGGTCGTCGTCATTTGTGGTGTGTGTTCTACACTCGGAGCGCTTGTGGTTTTCCGGGTTACAAGGCTTCTGTCAACCAAAGGGTGAGAGCGTAGCTGGAAAAGCACACACTTTGTGTCTTATTGGGACTAAGCCTTTTGAAGGAAGATAAAGAAAGAGGAGATGCTGTGATAGTGTGCACTTGTGAGAGCTCCCAGACATCACTACAAAACGCTGAACCGCCAAGCCTCACGGTTGACAGATGTCCTGGACCGTTTTCCGATGCAGAGGGTATTTAGTGAAATCGCACGTAAATGGTTTTAGACGCCATAATTCCGCAGTTTTCAAATCCTTCTAAAATGGAAGTACAAATTTCAAGAATAGGGCTCAGTCCAGTACGTCTGGAATGAGCCACACATACGACTTTAGCCTTTGTTTTGAGCCGCGCTGTAACCCTAGGCGGGTCTTGGCAGCTCTGGGAACGAGATATTCACCGTATTCAATCATTCCTATCTTTCGTTTTTTCGTTTCTTTCTTCATCTCACTCATGAGTTTCGTTTTCAATTGAAAAATAAACCTGTTGTAAATCTCACCCCCGCTTCCTGAGCGTAATGCACGCAGGTGCGAATGTAGTTGCTTTCACTACAGTTGGCGATTCCTGGAGTCAGTGCCAGCGTGAGATCGAGACCACTCTAAAACCGTACCAAATATGAAAATGCTTACTTTTCATTTCATTGGGGGATAAATACCTCATGCTTTTTGGTTGGATCAAATACGTCAAAGGTTACGGTAGAGCCGTCAGCAAGTCGAACTGCACACCGTCGATCGAAAACTCTTCGGAGTGAAGCATGGCCAAGCAGACCATAGGTGACCGTCTGCACATGACCTGAGCGACCCCATAGACCAGGTGGGCAATAGCTGGAACAAAAATTGGTCAAAAGAAGCTCCTGAACTTTTCCTGCCCAATTAGTGCCGGAATATCGAGCTCGGAATTTAACGAGAAAACGCCTTCATGAGAGTGTACTTGCTTGTTGTAGGCATGGTATTGAGACCCACTCTAGGCACAGGGTCTGTCTGGTTGTCTATCCATCTGTCGCTGTCTGCCTGTCTACATATTAGTCTGTCTGGTGGCTGTCCATCCATTTGTGGCTGCCTGTTAGTCTGTCTATCGGGTACCCCCCCCCCCCAGG